AAAAGCACAGGTAACCAAAAAAGTATAAATAATAAATTGGATTACAAAAACATTAAAATCTTCTGTGCATTAAATGCACTAAATAACTGTGAAAAAGTCAACCTAACAAAATTCAAAACAGATTAATCGTCGTATCCTGATAGGGTTAATATGCAGAAAGATTTAAAAATTCTACAATTCAACTAAAAATAAAACATATAGCGCTGATTAAAAATGGACCAATGATTGGTAGACATTTCTCCAAAGAGACAGAAATATCAACAAACATTTGAAAAGATGCTGAAAATCACTCACCCATTAGGGAAATGCAAATCAAAACCACATTGAGATATAATGCACACTCATCAGGAAGCTACTTATACATTAATAAAAAACAGAACAAATAAAATATGAACACAGACACAAAAATGTCAGAAGGGCAGAAAAACATTGGATAGCAAAATCGCATCCTTACTTATGTTAATGAACATTGAATGGAACAAATAATTTTAATGGGACACCTATACATTAATAGTTTTGCATTTATCATCTAACACAGTGTGTTTCCTAATATACAAGCATCTTCTCCCTAGAGATCTTTTGTACCTTTGTGAGATTTAAAATAGGTGCAGCTATCTTTAGAGGAACAGAATGACGTTCCTCAACAAATTCAAGAAATAGATGTTACTACATGATCGATCCATCAATCAACCTTGAAGTTGTATCCAAAAATTGAAGTCAAGTTCTTAAAAAATGGTACATCCATCTTTCATAAAATTCTATTCACAATATCCAAATAATGTACTTAAACTAAACTCCAACACTAATAAAATAATAAACATATTTATATCTATCTATAGAATACCACTTTCAAAATATTAGCCGGGCATGGTAGCGCATGCCTGTAGTCCAGCTACTTGGGAGGCTGAGGCAGGAGGATCGCTTGAGCCCAGGAGTTGGAGGTTGCTGTGAGCTAGGCTGAGGCCAGGGCACTCACTCTAGCCTGGGCAACAGAGTGAGACTCTGTCTCAAAATAAATAATAAATAAAATGTAACTGAAAAAGCAGAAAAACTAACATTCCATTTCCTTAAAAATATAATTTATATATCCAGTCATCAAAGTAATCAACGTAACACTAATCCAATATTACCGTGAGGTTTTCGGTATCCCTGCTGGAACGGGAAAATAATTTGACGTTTTGTTTTTCTGGTGGAAAGAAACGGTAGCAAGGAAAAGAAAACACTAACCAAAAAGTTGAAACAGGACCTAAAAAGAGTAGCGGTTTTTAAAATAGTCTTATGTTTGCACATGTGGATTCTTGCAACATGTAACACTCTTTTCCGCCCCCCCCTTCCCCCCGTAATTTTGTAGCCAGTACTCATGGTAGTCCAGCTAAATTAAAATACCATCCCTTCACACTTTAGCTCATCAAGCTTTGCAACTGCTACTAATTATAAAAGTCTCAGAAAGCCGGATGGTGCCATCTCCTTAAAGGTGAATGATTCAGTTAGAAGTATCCAATCGAGGCCGGGTGCGGTGGCTCACGCCTGTAATCCTGGCACTCTGGGAGGCCAAGGAGGGCGGATTGGTCGAGGTCAGGAGTTCGAAACCAGCCTGAGCAAGGGCAAGACCCTGTCTCTACTATAAATAGAAAGAAATTAACTGGCCAACTAATATATATAGAAAAAATTATCCGGGCATGGTGGCGCATGCTGTAGTCCAGCTACTCGGAGGCTGAGGCAGAGGATCGCTTGAGCCCAGGTGTCTGAGGTTGCTGTGAGCTAGGCTGACGCCACGGTACACCACTCTAGCCTGGGCAACAAAGCAAGACTCTGTCTCAAAAAATAAATAAATAAATAGTATCCAATCGAGAAGAGGGAATAAAAGCATAGGACATAAAAATCTTCCTTGGGAAAGGATCTCAACTTTATAGAGACCCTTCTCAAAGACTCTGAGCAAATATCTAAGAACATAATCATATTCCAGGTTCATGAAGACGGTGGGTGACTTTTCAGGGTCCTGTAGCAGGACATGGATAGCAAAAGGACACCAAATAGAAATCTCACATGTCCCCCCCATCAAGGAAGGCCAGCCCATAGTACTCTACAGCCACCTGTGTTCTTTCAGCATCCCCCAGTCTGGAGGGTCCCTCATCCTCCTGACAAACATCCTTTCAAAACGACGTCGGGGCCGGGCGCAGTAGCTCACGCCTGTCATCCCAGCACTCTGGGAGGCTGAGGTGGGAGGATCGCTCAAGGGTCAGGAGTTCGAAACCAGCCTGAGCAAGAGCGAGGACCCCCCTCCCATCTCTACTAAAGTAGAAACAAATTAATTGGCCAACTAAAAATATATAGAAAAAATTAGCCGGGCATGGTGGTGCATGCTTGTAGTCCCAG